ATTCCGATTATCCGGAATTCCGATTATCCGGAATTCCGATTATCCGGAATTCCGATTATCCGGAATTCCGATTATCCGGAATTCCGATTATCCGGAATTCCGATTATCCGGAATTCCGATTATCCGGAATTCCGATTATCCGAAATTCGGATTATCCGGAATTCGGATTATCCGGAATTCGGATTATCCGGAATTCCGATTATCCGGAATTCCGATTATCCGGAATTCCGATTATCCGGAATTCGATTATCCGGAATTCCGATTATCCGGAATTCCGATTATCCGGAATTCCGATTATCCGGAATTCCGATTATCCGGAATTCCGATTATCCGGAATTCCGATTATCCGGAATTCCGATTATCCGGAATTCCGATTATCCGGAATTCCGATTATCCGGAATTCCGATTATCCGGAATTCGATTATCCGGAATTCGATTATCCGGAATTCGGATTATCCGGAATTCGGATTATCCGGAATTCGGATTATCCGGAATTCCGATTATCCGGAATTCCGATTATCCGGAATTCCGATTATCCGGAATTCGATTATCCGGAATTCCGATTATCCGGAATTCCGATTATCCGGAATTCCGATTATCCGGAATTCCGATTATCCGGAATTCGGATTATCCGGAATTCGGATTATCCGGAATTCGGATTATCCGGAATTCGGATTATCCGGAATTCGGATTATCCGGAATTCGGATTATCCGGAATTCGGATTATCCGGAATTCGGATTATCCGGAATTCGGATTATCCGGAATTCGGATTATCCGGACTTCGGATTATCCGGACTTCGGATTATCCGGACTTCGGATTATCCGGACTTCGGATTATCCGGACTTCGGATTATCCGGACTTTGGATTATCCGGACTTCGGATTATCCGGACTTCGGATTATCCGGACTTCGGATTATCCGGACTTCGGATTATCCGGACTTCGGATTATCCGGACTTCGGATTATCCGGAACCAATGGGGTTTATTGTTTTTATAATACTTCATTGTATATAGCATTCAAACAACACATCCTTATACACTTAAAGTATTAATATTTTTGATTCTCTAGAAATTGTCTAGAATATACCTTATTTAGCAAAACAACGTTTGCCGGGTCAGCTAGTTTAGAGATAAATTATGACAAAAATTTGTTGAATGAACAATCAATAACCCATTCACATATTATAATTATAATATATGGAAATTTACCTAGAGAAAGCTATAATCAGAAGTTTATCTTCAAAATCTTAGTAGTAAAAGTTTGTTCTTATCTTACACCAAGATTCAGTTTAATGGTGGTAAATAATTAGCAATATATGATAGTGAAAAAAAATTTCGAGCTTTCGAAGTTTAAATTTTTTTTATGTTTTTATAAGTCAATTCTATTAAAGGGGTCTTTTGTAATAATCATCATTCGTTTCGATAAATTTCAATTCATTCGTGCGTTCATCTCATTCCCGTTGATCCCCCGATTTAAATTCGGGGCACGTGTTCAATAAGAGCACACCTCTTATGAATGATAAATGATAAAAATTAATAATTAAATTTTGTTTTAAAAACATCTAATAAAAATTTATGGGATTAGCAATATAACCTCCAGCTAGTGTTAATTAACGTTCCTAAATTCGTCTTTTCTCGACGCTTCAAGTCATTCTGAATCAAAAATATAATAATTTCTTCCAATTTGAATCAAATGGTTAATGTTTTGCCAATTTTGAAAACTATGTGGCCAAAACTTGCGTTTCGTCTACGTTTTTTCAGAAACTGATAGGGGTGAATCAATTTCTTCTCCGATTACAACAATTTTATTTCGTTTTGCAAGACGATCGGTCAATCCAATTCTTTAAAAATTTGCAGAAATAACCCTGAACCTCAACTTACACGACACCTAGATGAATTTCTGCGTTGTTCACATTTTATATTGTATGAAGAATTTAGGTCAAAATAGGTTTCAATTAATTGCCAGTACTCTGAATTATTGTAATTTGTTTCTTAATGTTGCATTATAATATTTCCATTTTGAAATCTGTTTTTGAAAGACGTACTTATACTCAGTGGATTTACAGTAAGGGCAGTCGGGACTAGTGCCCAAGGCGGCAAATTTTCGGGGGCAACAAAATTTGAAAATTCATAAAAAATATATCTATACATAGAATAAGTATGTAACGCGTGACATTTTTTTGCAATCAATTGTTATTTTAATTTTAGAAAAATGAGATTTCAAAAATGGGGCGCCAATGCCCCAGGGCGCTAAATTTTTAAATTCGGCCCCTGCTCATGCTGAAATACAAATATTTGTACATTGTGTTTTGACAGATCAAAGATATCTTTGATAGCATTTTATCTTATATGTAAAAATGAATCGCAAAATGTGTTGGTAAGCGCATAACTCAACAACGCCTGGACCAATTTGGCAATTTTCTAAAATGTTGAAGTCCAAAGATGGTTCTTACGGCGAGACAAAATCGAATAATTGCCGGAAAACCCTTAAAACAGCCTTTTTCTTTTTCACATACAAACGTTTTCTAAATAAAACGTGGAATCAATTTGAGCTTTAATTAACTTCCCGAAGGAGAAGTTTATGTTTTCATCAAAAAATCCGAATGGCTAATTTTATGTTTTCTCGACGTTTCAAGCCATTCTGAATCGAATGAGACCAAATTTGGAAAAAGTATGTGTGTGTGTGTGTGTGGTGTGTGTGTGTGTGTGTGAACAGATTTTTTGCCGTAAATCGACGTTTTCTCCAAAACGGCTGGAGCGATTTCAAAAATTTAAAAGCCATTTGATGTATTTCGATGAGGACTATCGTCTCTGAGTTTTGTGCGGCGATCGGCCGGGCCGTTCTTTGTAAATTGCAGAAAAGTAAAAAATTTTTCGCCCACGTTTTAGCTCGCAATTCTGAATCGATTCTGAAAATTCAAAAACCATTCGATAGATATTGGTTGGGAATCGTGCTGATTAGTTTTTGGTAAAGATCGGCCAGGCCGTTTTCTTGTAATAACGTTTTTAAAAAAAAAATTTCGACGATTTTTATGATTTTTTTTTTGACGGTAGATACCATAGTTTTCTAGGTCATACTAAAATATTACGGCCCTACGACAACTCGTTTAGCTTTAAAAATTCGTCAAAGTTTGCAAAAATTGGTATAGTTTTTTTGACATTTGTCAAAATTAGACTTTTGATCGACGTTTTCTCAAAAGCGCCTGAACCGATTTCAGAAATTTAAAAGCCATTTGATGTATTTCGGGGAAGACTATCGTTTGTCAGTTTTGTGCGACGATCAGCCAAGCCGTTTCTTTGTAATTTGAAAAAAAAGTGTTAAACTTTTCGTCCACATTTAAGCTCATCCTACCGAACCGATTTTAAAAAATCAAAAACTGTTCGAAAGATATTAGTTGGGAATGATACTGATCAGTTTTAGGTGAAAATCTACCGAGCCGTTTTCTTGTAATTAACCGTTGAAAAAAAAATTTAAGCCGATTTTTATGGATTTTTTTTAGCGATATATACCATGGTCTTATAGAACTTACTGAAATATTACGGCCTTAAGACAAATAGTTTGATTTTAAAAATTCATCAAAGTTTGAGAAAATGAGTAGCTCTTTTGACATTTGTTAAAATTAAAATTAGACTATTTACTTGGTATAATGATAGAGTACTTGGTCTTGAACATAATAAATCATTAAAGTCCTGAAAACTAGTTCAATTATAAAAATTGATTTTTTGAAAATTTGCTTTTAGAAAATACTCCGAGTTCGTTCGTTTTCAATTATGTGTAATAAATTCACTCGGAATACTTTTAATGACTCATAAATTAATTTATTTTTTATTGATTAAGTCGATTATTTAAATATATCGGGAAGTTCATGTAACTTGCCTCAAGGCTAAATACCAAACCAACTAGTTTGTTTATAACGCGTAAATAAATAAGGTGAATTAGAGAATTTATAAAGGTAAACTGGTGGACAGGTAAATTGGAGAATATGTAAAATGGTAGAGAGAAGAACTGGTAGATAGACGGATATGTAGATAAATAAACAGGTTGACAGCTTAATTGGTAGATATTTAGAACAGAATGTGAGATAAATTTGTAGGCCGGTAAAATGGTAGATTGATAAACAGGTTGATAGGTAAATTGGTAGATGGGTAAATTGATAGACAGGTGAATTGGTAGACAAGTAAATTAGTGAAAAGGTAATTTGTTGGATAGCTGGTGGTCAGGTAAATTGAGAATATGTAAAATGGTAGACAGGGCATCACAACAGGGGTAGGCAGACAAATAACAAGACGGATGAACAGGTTGACAGTTAAATTGGTAGACATGTGAAACGGCTTGATAGGTAAATAGGTTGACAGTTAAATTCGTAAGTCGGTTAAATGGTAGATTGATTAACAAGATTATAGGTAAATTTGTAGACAAATTATTGAACAGATAGTAGTAACGTTAAACTAAATGTAACAGATACACATCTTTGTTGAACTTTTTAATCTAAACTAAATCACGGCAAAGCGTGAACGGGTACAGCTAGTTTTGATATGTGCAGATTTTTTGTATGAAAAAACTTTATTAATAGTACAAGCGTCTTCAAGCATCTTTCAGATTAATGAAAAACAAACTTATATTATAATTAAAAATCAATTAAAAAAATATCAAAATGCCGTTCATTAATTCAAAAGTGCTGTTTGACCGTATGTTTAGAGGGAAGCCGTTATAATATGTGTATATAATAAATCAAATAAATATATAATAATTAAAATAAATGTTGTAAATAAGTATTACTTACAGATAGTATGTTTTATCAAATTACTAGGGCCACCTTACTTGAAAAACACTAACACGAAAACTAAATGCAACGTGACAGATCCAACGATTGACAATCGCAACGTAGCACAGTTTGAAACATTTCAAAACTACTTAGACATCGTATGATATTGTTCTGTACTGGCTATTAGATTTGAATAATAAGTGTAGTTTTATAAATGCTAAAAATGTTGTACAATTTTTGATAATGAAAAGTTTTCCAATATAAGTTTTTGAAATATTTTTTCTATATATTTATAATTTTTATTCTAACCATCTGTCAAGTGCCAACAAATCAAAAATGGCGGATCAATGTCCAGAAAAGAAGGAAATTGAGCAGATATTTAATAGATTGCGTGCGATTTCTGCGAATAAAGTATGTTTCGACTGCAACGCCAAAAATCCTACGTGGGCATCAGTAACATATGGCGTATTCATTTGCATCGACTGTTCAGCTGTTCACAGGAGCCTGGGGGTCCATTTAACTTTTGTTAGGTCTACACAGCTCGACACTAACTGGACCTGGCTTCAAATGAGACATATGCAAATGGGGGGCAATGCAAATGCTTCTCAATTTTTCCGCCAACATAACTGCAATACGAATGATTCACAGCAGAAATATAATTCTCGGGTGGCCCTCGATGTATAGAGATAAATTGAGAAACTTAGCACAACAAGCAATGAATTTGTATGGTACACAAACTTTTATTGATTCAAACAATGAAACGGCACCTGTCGAATCCAAAGAACCTGACTTTTTTGATGGAATTACAGATGATTTCAATTCTAATTTACCTGAAACATTACAAGTAATAAAAAATGATGTGTCATTAAAACAGAATTCTAATTTAAATGAAACACCAGCTGAACGGAAACCAACTATTGGTGTGAGGAAAGTTCAGCCTAAGAAACTGGCTTGGGGGCAAAGAAAGGACTTGGTGCTACAAAAGTATCTACAGATTTTGCAGAAATTGAAAAAGAAGCTAATTTATTGCAACAAAGAAGAACTGAGCACGCAGAATCGTTTAAAAAAAGTGCTGAGCAAAGTAAAAAGGACGATGAAGAAGCAATGATTAGTATGAGACTAGCTTATAAAGATTTATCTTTACAGCAATCTAAAGAGGAAGAGCGCTTAAAAACAGTTGATCCTAAAAAGGCCAAACAAGTAGAAAGGCTAGGAATGGGAGTTTCAAAAGCAAGATCTGGTGTTTCTCATTCAGCTCTCAATGATATGAAAACAATTGAACAAGAAAACTTAGATAACAGTCCCAAATTTTCAATGCCTAAGTCTTCATTTGAAAAAGAAAGTGATGGATTTTTCGATGATTTTTCATTTTCCTCAAATAGCATGTATGATAGAAGTGGTGAAAGACAAATAC